TGAGGGCTGAGCGAGGTGTTGGCAGGTCGAGAGAGCAATGAGACTGGAGGATTACGTGAGATCGTCAGGAGGGGAGTGAGATGAGATGGAGGGGAGTGAGGAGGTGGGTGGGTGGGGGCTGTGGGATTGTTGGCGGGGGAGGGAGGGAGGGTTGTGGGGGTCCTGTTAGATGGGAGGGGGAATGAGATTGATGGTCAAGTGGGACTGAAGAGTGAATGTGAAATGGGGTGGTGGGTGATGAGAGGAGGAGGGGGGGGGGGCTGATGTAGGGGGGGGGGGGGGGGTGAAGTGAGACTGGGTGCTGACGTCACAACAGGGGAGAGACGTCGCGCAGGTATAAATCGCGTCGCGTCGCGCCCTTGTAAACACCGCGCGCGTCACAACGCTGCCCGCTCGTGCTCCTGCGTCTCCCGAGAGCTGGGTGAGTGGACCGTTTTTATTATCGACCCGCGTGTACCGACAGTCTGCGTGGGGGAACCCTTTGAGTATTTGTGTGTGTGTGTACTGCCATGTGTACTGGCGTATGGGGCTGTATCGGTGGCAATCCGATTTTGCCTTGAATCGATAAAGTGTTGGGGTTTTTTTGCCGGTACACTGTCAGGCCGAGTCTGCCCTATAGGGGGGGGTGGGGGGGTATGCAAAAATCCCGATATCGGGAAGTCTAAAATCGAGTCAAGTTGATAGCGCAGCGCGGCATACAACGCAGGCACAGAAGCCTCCACATTCACGTGGTACACAACACAGGCACGCGTGTGCGCGCCACGCACGCGCAAGGGCTGTGGTGATGTTAGCGAGCGCCGCGTTAAGGCTGGAAGGATGCTGTGGACAGATACCACACCGCCAGGCAGCTGTTGTCTCCACAGCCCTGATGGGGGGGGGGGGGGGGGGGGGCACAGGACTGGTTCAAATATTCCTCGCCCTGATGTTGGCCGTGAGCGGGAATCGTCACCGTCGTGTTTGTAGCGCGGTGTGCAGCAGTGGGCCACTGCACTGCCGGCTTCCCCCATCCACGCCGATACACTCAGCTCACACACAGCACACACAGCACACACACACAGCACACGCACAGCACACGCACACACACAGCACACACACACACACGCTACATCTCTCTCACACACAGCACACACACACACACGCTACATCTCTCTCACACACAGCACACACACACACACGCTACATCTCTCTCTCACACACAGCACACACACAGCACACGCTACATCTCTCTCTCACACACACACACGCTACATCTCTCTCTCACACAGCACACACAGCACACACAGCACACACACAGCACACACACACAGCACACACACAGCACACGCTACATCTCTCTCTCACACAGACACGCTCGCTCACGTTCTCGCACGCCTTTCACAGACGGTGCCATGAGCAGTGCGCACGAGGGGGTTCGCTGACCAAGCACCACGCCCGGCCACCTTTGTCTCCCCAGGTGCTCGATATGAGGACCGGTTGTTTTTTTTGTTTAATATTCGCCACTGTTATTGACCGTGAGCTGGAATCGAACGCTTTGGTCGGCCGGGTTCCGTAGCAGAAGGTGGTGCTCCGTTAACCACCGCGATGACAACTACCCAGCGTCGCACGCACAGACACATCCACAGACACATCCACAGACACATCCACAGACGCATCCACAGACACATCCACAGACACATCCACAGACACATCCACAGACACATCCACAGACGCATCCACAGACACATCCACAGACACATCCACAGACACATCCACAGACACATCCACAGACGCATCCACAGACACATCCACAGACGCATCCACAGACGCATCCACAGACACATCCACAGACACATCCACAGACACATCCACAGACGCATCCACAGACGCATCCACAGACACATCCACAGACACATCCACAGACGCATCCACAGACGCATCCACAGACACATCCACAGACACATCCACAGACACATCCACAGACGCATCCACAGACGCATCCACAGACACATCCACAGACGCATCCACAGACACATCCACAGACGCATCCACAGACGCATCCACAGACGCATCCACAGACACATCCACAGACGCATCCACAGACACATCCACAGACGCATCCACAGACGCAAAGCGGAACAAAGATTCCCCGCCACCGCGGGGAAAGTGCAGTTAGCGAGCGCCTGGTTCCCCCCATAGTTGATGTTTACACAAGGACAAAGATCCCCCGTATAGCCTTAATAGACTGTAGGGGCAAGTGCTGTTAGCGAGCAGCACCTATGAAGGCCGGAACGGTACACGAGGGGGTGGGTGGCCAAGCACCACGCCCGACCGCCTTTGTCTCCCCAGTGGCGATGTTCACTACACACCGCACCGGGTACTCATTTGAGGCCGAGTCGACCTAGGGTAGGCCCAGTACCGGTTCAGACAATCGTCACTGTGGCGTTGGCCGTTAAGCGGGAATGGAACCCGGGTCGCCGGGTTCATAGCGCAGCGCTAACCACGACACCACCGCTCCCCAACTATGTTTGTTTACACATCACACCGGAACACGCGCCCCGTCCTGCGATACACGAGGCGAGTGGAGCTCCGCTTCCCTCCATCCCCCACGGGATTCGCGAAACCGGTTTATCACGCAGTAATTAAATAAGTAATGTGTCGCCAAACTCGAAGCAATATTATTAACTGCGGAGACGGAAATAACCCAGCGAAAATAACAACAACAACAACAACAAATAAAACCTCGCTTAACTCGCGTCCCCATTTTTTTTATTGTTAATAGATAAATTAACGTCAATTAGTCCACTGCGGGATCGAGGCATCTTCCACGTCTGTCACGGCAGCCCTTTGACCATACTTCACCAATCCGGTCAGTGCGGGTTGGTGTAGAGGATATTTGGTTTGTTCCCCACCCCCACCTCTCTCGCGCCTCCGATTAGCACGGTTGGCTACGGTACGGTGCGAAAGAAGTTCAGCATGCACGCATACAGAAGGGGCGTGGGAGGGACAGACCCTCCCAACACCGGGTCAGCTTTCACTCGCCACTGACGTTAGCCGTGGTTGGAGTCGGTGGCGGGGAGTAATCGAAGCGCAAAGTGCCACCTCGACACCGTTGCCACCCTGACGATTCCTAGAATGGGCGAATCCGTGTCACTTGGTTTGCTTACTCGCGACGTTCATGGGGAGCGGTGGCGCAGCGGTCAGAGCGCTGCGCTACGAACCTCGCGACCCGAGTTCGATTCCCGCTCCACAGCCAACACCCAGTGACGATTATAATCTGAGCCGGTCCTGGGCGTCTCCTAGGTCGACTCGGCCTCCAAGTGAGTACCTGGTGCGGTGTGTAGTAAACATCGCCACTAGGGAGACAAAGGCGGTCGGGTGTGGTGGTGCTGGCCACCCACCCCCTCTCGTGTGCCGTGCCGGCCTTCACAGGTGCTCGCTAACAGCACTTGCCCCTACAGTCTGTTAAGGCTACAACGGAGGAATCTTTGTCTTTGGTGTGATGTCTGGGTGATTGTGATGCTGGTCACGTGATGTGGTGAACGTGCTTCGTGCTCGTCAGCCCCCACCCACCGTGGGTTCAAATCGGCGAGACCCACGGACGAAATCCTAAAAGTAAACTGAGACGGAAACCGAACACACCGGGAGCGGACCCCAAATAAACTTTGCGGGCCACGGGAACGTGCCACGGGCGAGTCCCTTGGGGAGATAATCGGAGGGTGGAGGGGGTTACAAAATTAGTTTACGTCGCACCAATCGGTTAATGTCCTCCACTTGGTGGATGAAATAATAACCTTGGATAGTTGTAAGTCCCCCCCCCCCACCCCCTTTGTTACTCAGAGATAGTGGATCTGAATCTGACATTTTAAAAAAAAATCTACAATCGGCAAGAAATTGCTGGTTAGACTACAATACACGGGGCCGGGTTTACTATTCTCGGGCAAGCAGCAACAACAACAAAAGTGAATCCGTGAGACACGCGCACACCCATTTCGTAAAACCGTGAGTCCCACTGACCCATCATGATACTCGACGTGTACCATGATGGGTGAGTGAGTCTCTGTGTGTCTGTGTGCCCACTGTGTCTTTGTCTTGTGGCTGTTTGCCGGCGTCACGTGCTCGTCACGTGCTCTCGGCGTGACGCGTTCCTAAACCGTCGACGCCGCTGCCGCCGCCACGTGTCCCACCTCTCTCCCTCCCCCACAAGATGAATTGGACACCTGGGCACGCGAATTTTTTTATTAATCGGTTTGTTTATTGTCAAATCCATCGCCACAGACGCGGAGGATTCGTGTGGAGGAGGGGAGGGGGTGATGGTGTGGATGGGGGTGATGGTGTGCATGTTGTGGATGGGGGGGTGGTGTGATGGGAGGGGGTGCTGTATTGTGTACTGTAATGTGAGTTGTGGAAGGGGGTGCTGTTGTGGATGGGAGTGGTATGATGGCAAGGAGTTATTGTGATTAGTAGGGGGTATGTATGATTTAGGTGCGTTGTGATGGCGGTGTGAAGCGGTGGCGCAATCGTGGGCCATCTGCCACCCGAGTTCCTGGCCACAGCAAACATCAGTGGCGAGGTGATATCTGAACCGGTCCTGGAGCGCTTTCCTTCATCAACCCGTAGTGACCGACCTGGTGAAGTATGGCCAAACACGCCCCCCCCCCCCCGCCCCCATGACCTACACGGCACGGGGAAGCCTTCATCCAGCAGTGGATTGTCAAAACATCTCTCTCTAAAAATAAATCACCAATATTGTTCAATCGATCGGCGAGCTCGCGCGCAGTGGGCGTGGCCGTCTGCACCAATCGACCAATCGCACGCGGCGGTGGTGGGGTGCGCGGGCCACGTTATAAAAACAAAAATCAAGTTTTTGGGTGCACTTTGAGAAAGTGCTCCCCGCGGGCTGCCGTGCGGCAAAGCGCGGAGAGCCGCAACAGCTGCTGTCGTGTTGCTGCCTTTTGTCTGCGTGCACCTGGTGGTGGTGGTGGTGGGGGGAGGAGGAGGATGAAGGGGGAGGGAGGCTCGGGGAACGTCGCAGCAGGTGCAGCGCGAGCTGTGTTTACCTGGAGAGGAAGAAGGAGCGAGAGCAGAGAGAGGTGGGGGGGAGAAGAATAATAGGGTCATGGTGCAGAGGTTATCAACAGGCGGCTCTTTGTTAAGGATTCGCCGTCTCGTATTCACCACACAGTCAGTGCATTGCGGCTCTTGAAATATTGAGTGATTGTTTTTTTAAAACCGAATTATAACTAATTGTATATTATTGTTTATTTGGGGGTTCCGACCCGTGGGCTTGTGTTTTGGAGCATTAAAGTTTGTGACCTCTGCGAGAGGGAAGATGATGAAGACGGTACACATGGGGGTGGTGAGCTCGAGAGACGAAGACACGGGTACTGACGAAGACAAACGGGGCGACACGTAGACACGGGATGAAGAGCTCAACGCAGACACGCGGGAGACGCCGATTAACGCACTGAGATGCAGCGTCGACAGATTGGGGACAAAGCGACAGACACACGGACGGAGGCGCAGATGGGTTGCACGGACACGTGGTGAGATGATTACCCCGCCAGGTGCAAGGTGAGCGCCTATCAACGGACAGCCAGCAGCACCTGGAGCTGGCAGTGCGGGGCACGCCATGCAACACCCCCCCCACCCAACCCCCTCCTCAACTAATCTCGAACCGCTACGATGGCTAGGAGATGTTAACTACCTCGCCTGGTATGCAGGAGGTCGTGGGTTCGATCCCGACCCTGACGCCTGCTGCTGAATATTTGGAGTTTGCGTCTCTCGCCCCGTGGTTGTATGGATTTTGCTCCGGATTTTCCCTCCCACATTCAGAATCAACAGCACGCGTTTAGAGTATTTGGGTGCTCTGAATCCTCCACGTGATTTGATACGCCATGCCGTTGAGCTATCATTCGTGGCCAGGTCGCTTCTGAAAAAGAGTTGCATAGTTCGGTGGGACTTAACTGGCAAACATAAAAAACCCATGATAGATGTTTTCTGTGTTGCATCTCGTAAAATATAAATGTGTAGTTAAACCCGATACAGTAAACTAGTAAGGTTTGTCACGTAAACAAAACGTGTCCAATTCGTTATGAGTTCAGCACACCGGTGTGTTGGAGGGTAAACCCACGACAACATCAACAATTCGAGTACGACGTTTCGCCGGCAATTGCAATCAGCTTCGTCATAGTATTTTTTTTATTTGCTATACAGCCAAATAATACGACAAATCGCTCACCTTAAACACCCAGTCGTTCATAAGTTGAAGGCAGTATAGTACTATAGTAATAGAGCAAGTGCAGAATCACTGAACCGGAATTGATATATTGAAAGCGTTTAGCGCGGGGCCCTTGAAAGTGCGGGGCCCGCAGCTACTACACAGGTAGCTATTACACGTGCAGCTACTACACAGGCAGCTACTACACGTGTTGTAGCTATTACACGCGCTGTAGTTACTACACGTTTAGTAGCTACTACACGTGTTGCAGCTACTACACGTGTTGCAGCTACTACACGTGTTGCAGCTACTACACGTGTTGCAGCTACTACACGTGTTGCAGCTACTACACGTGTTGCAGCTACTACACGTGTTGCAGCTACTACACGTGTTGCAGCTACTACACGTGTTGCAGCTACTTTTGCTCCGATGATAATTAATCCGGCGTTTATGGCGAGGCAGGCCGCTTGACGGTCGAACTCGCAAACGGATCGTTAAGCTCCCACCCACTACAAGCGTCTCATTTTCACTGATCGGGTACCAGACTGCGTGTGGGGATCGGGGGCGAAATCTTCAACCTTGACAGCAACGCCGCTGTGAAGGCCCTTGCAGTGACCGAGGCGAATGAATTAATTTTACTTTAATTGTGGCCCGCCAAACAAGACTGGTGCGCGAGTCCTAATTCAGGACTTGGGTAAGGAAGCGGTGCATGAGGCGCGTGCTTTTTTTTCCTTTCCCTCTCGAACGTTTGACCCTTCCCAATGAGCCCCCCGTGCCACTTCTCGTTGTGTAATTGACCGCGTTGGTACAACTGGGTGTTTCACAACGCAAGGTGTAATTAGTATGATTTAACAGCGGCGGATGCAATCAAGGGAGCGTACACCTTCAGAATGTTCACACTCGAGCGCTCACGTATTTTTTCCAAGAGCGCCTGATAAAATCCACTGCTGGGTAAAGGGGCCGTCCGTAAATGACGTCACGCACCTAGGGGGAGGGGGGGGGTTTGAGAAATGTGACGTCACATCAAAATGCGCAATTTTTTAATAAATAGACAACACGTTCTACTTAGTTAAATATACTTTTTTAATAAATGTCTCCTACAACATCAGAGTGCAGCGGCACATTAAATACGCACTACAATGACAATAGTTTAAAGCGATTTGAAGCATATATTTTTTTTGGGGGGGGGGGGCAGAGCTTTGTGACGTCATATTTGAGGGGGGGTCTGACTTTTTGTGACGCCGTCTGACGAGGGGGGAGGGTCAAAAATCTTCAAAAATCGCGTGACGTCATTTATGGACGGCCCCAAAGGCCGTGAGACGAGTAACCATACTGCACCATGCTGGTCAGTGCCTGTTTGGTAAAGCCGTAGACGTGGGAGCGTAGGAGTACAGTACAACAATGTAACTTTCTACAATGCCCACCACGTGGCCCAGCAGCAGCCTATAGCACCTGTTACAAGTAGAGTGGTCGCCCAGCCGAGGAACTGTCGAAGGCTCGAATTTCATTTGCTTCCACGATCTGACCAGCCCATACTGGACATCTGCGACGAAGAGCTTCATAGCTCATCGGATTCCTCGTGCAGTCGAAATAAGGATTCTGATTCTGAAAGAGTTTCACGTGACCCCTGTTTACAGCCATTAGGGGCGCTTCTGTCAAAACAAAAACAAGAGCTTTTTTTCGCTCGTGAATCTCATCGCAACCGAATCACAGCAAAGTGTGTTTAATCCCTTGGAGGGGGGGGGGGGGTGTTTTGTAATAATTGAGCTTTTCTAACGATGCTAATTTAGAAACTGATTTCCCATTTATGTGTAACGCGACGCTTCCCGGTGCATAATTAAACACGAAATTATAAGAGGGGAAAAAAAAAGACCGAGGAAGAAAAAACGTGCATATGCCCGACTCTGCAACGCTTTTTCGACCATGCGGGTTTGTACTCGGACGCGTTTAATGTCGTAGAGAACACACGCAGGATCACGGCATAATTCAACCCGTTGAGAAAATAAAGTGGGGGCCGTTACTGGGCAGGACACGTCGCCACAGAAGGGGTCGGCAACCTGCGGCCCCTTTATGGACTGAATCGTGACGCGTTGCGTGTAATCTACGTATTAGCATGCTTTGCGTGAGGCCCTTTAAATATTGAGTTTTGTATCAAAATCGAAAGAAAAAAATGTCCGGGGCCGCCCATAAATGACGTCACGCGATTTTGGACGATTTTTGAGCTCCCCCCCCTCCTCGTCACACGGCGTCACAAAAAGTCAGACCCCCCTCAAATATGACGTCACAAAGCTTTGCCCCCCCCCACAAAAAAAAACACATTTCCATTTAGAAAATAAAACATGCTTCAAATCGCTTTAAACTATTGTCATTGTAGTGCACTCTGATGTTGTAGGAGTGTTGTTATAACAATTAGTGCTATTACAACAATTCTATATTTAAAGTTGCGCATTATGATGTGACGTCACATTTCTCACCCCCCCCCCCCCCATCGTCACGCATCGTCACAAATGTCTGACCCCCCCCTAAGTGCGTGACGTCATTTATGGACGGCCCCTCCCTCGTTATTTCGGTGACCGATCCCTGGTCAAGAGCAATAACAGGGTTCTGGTCAATTACGTTGAAAGCGTTCCCAAAGCACGTGCACGGACGAGATGGAGCAATGAAATCGGCTCATCCTCACAATCCATGGAGTGAATTATTTATCGTCATCAGCCACCGTCCTTTTATTTCCCCCCACCCCCCCCCCCCCCCCACTTGCAGCCAACATCAGTGTCGTATATCCACACCTCCAACTCGCACGGTTGGCTATGTACGATGCGAAAGAAGTTCAACACACACGGCTGGATGACAGCCATCCCAAGCTGAGATGCAATAACTGCAATCAATGTGGCACCACGTGCACACTAACTTAATTCCCTTATTACACGCTTTCATTTAACTCACTCTGTTGTTGTTGTTTTGATTTAAAGCTTTCGTGACTGCATGGATTCATCTTCTCGGTTCTTTCGGCAAAGTCACGTAGAAGGGAAATAATAAAATAATACAAATAAAACATAATAGCTCAACTTATTGGAGGATATATTGAGTACATTGATTATATTGATGTAGTTTATATTTAGTTCTTTCACATCGGTTTATTGTATGATAGGTGGATAGTTGCAGTTCTTTAGCGTTAATATACTAAATGCCTCTGTTGATATGTAAACTCTGACTTTAACATAGCCACTTCCGTGACCAGTTACATGCTAAATCCTCACACTAACATCATGCTAATCTCCCAGTAACATGCTAATTTCTCACTTTAACATCCTGCTAATCACTTAGTGCCTTTCAGTGTAATCTTTCATATAATTTCCCAGTTACATGCTAATTTCTGACTTTAACATCCTGCTAATCTATCACATTAACATTGCTACGTCAATGCTAAATTATTCTGTTGATATGTAAACTCCTTTGTCAAGGCGCTCTGCTCCTCCCACCCAGCTTAAAAGTTGCTGCCAAGCTTGGCAGTGTTCATTGGAGCGCTGTCTTCCCGACAGTTCTGTTTCTTCACCTGAAGGCGGCTGCTTGTGTTGTGGCCGAAACGTCGTGATAATTGTATGTTATTATGTTTTTATTTTATTATTTCCCTTCTACGTGACTTTACCGAAAGAACCAAGAAGAAGGTGTGTTGTTGCTGTATCACAAATCTTGTAACTCAATGTTAACCCACTTCCCAATGTGGCATCGGCTGCAAACTTGGTATACTTATGTCATGCTGATGACAATTCTATCATTAAAAAAAACAAATTTTTAAAAATTATTTTGTGTATGTTATGTTTCGGCTTGGGTCTTACTGTCCACGCTAAACTGACGTTGGCTGTGATTGGCCCACGGTCCCCTTACGTCGTGGCAAGCTTCGGGGCCACTTCCCGGAGTTCTCCCATTACTAGTACATTTCATAAAAGCGTGGTTTAAAAAAAAGATTTTTTTAAAATTTATATTATTTCTGGGCGTTTTCACTCCGCCTTTGGCTGCCGCTCCATTGTTAGCATCGACCATCATCATCATCTTCCCTCCCTAGCCGCGATGCGTCTTCCTCCTACAGAAGGGCTCATGGTTGGAGCCGGACGCCTGCTGCTGTGAGCAGTGTGCACACGTGTCGTGCCTCCCATGACACCTTGCGGTCAACTGTTGCAATCTCTGAGCCTGCCCTAATTGCTGTACTAATCAGGGGTGTAACGAGCTGCAGCACACACACACACACACCCACGGAGAGATTGGACGAATTGTCAGTATTGGGAACAGATTCGATTCAAGTATTGATTTGTTTAATCTCTTTCCGTCCCCCCCCTCCCTCCCACCGTCTCGTTAGCATCAGCTGTGGTTGCACAGCAGCAGATGCTAATGTTGCATTAGCGTGTTATTTACATGGATATCTCGTTTGGCGATCTCCTGCTGAATGAGGGTCTGCCTGCGCCGTAGGGCTAATTTAGCATATGATTTGTGTTTTTAATTAGCAGTTAATTAAACCTATAAAATGTTATGTACTTACACATGCTTCGGTTTAAATCGATGCTACATTTGTGTCCTGTAATGTACATATGGTGTATTCCTGATTTTTTTTAAATCGATATTGACCCAACGCGTATTGGAAACCATATAATATTTTTTTTTCTAACCATTGCGTCCTAACTGTGCGAATCGAGTTGTATTGCAGGGTGGATGATTATGAATTTCAGAGTTTTAATTCTCAAAAAAAATTACAGCCCTTGGTGGCCAGGTAGCTCAGAAGTCGGAGTGCTGAGCTGGCTTCACTGCGCAATAATCAATGCCGCCTGCGATTTAAACCAGTTCTAGATTTAAAGCTTTCGTGACTGCAAGGATCCATACTCTTTGGTTCTATTGTTGTTTTATTTTTTACCTACGTGACTTGACCGAATAGAACCAAAGATTTAAACCAGGTTAAGTGTAGTTGGTGAGTTGGCAACGCACACACACGCGCGCGAAAAATATTCACGTTTTAAAATTTGGTGCTGATATTAACTTGGCTAAATTCCAGCTCTGGAATTAATTACATTCAGGCCTCGATTTCCGAACACCCGCGACCACGCACCGGTCAACCGGCCCCACGAACGAATTCTGGTCGTAAGTCGAGGACTGCCCGTACAAACAATTCAAACTTCGGGTTTACGGTCATGTGACGAACCCAATGAAGTGCTGCCCTCTACAGCACTGCGTGTGTGCACCAGAGGGTGATTCGATGGGAGCTCGCATCACAGGTAGCGCTGCGATATTGTATTCCGTGGTCCTCTTACTCCAATATAAAAGCTTGCACTGCTGTGCGAGAAATCCTACCGGATGCTTTCTCAGAACACGACCTCGATAGCACAACAAAAATTGTACAATAGAAATAACACCTTTTTTTAAACCCAAACACATGCTTTACTGAATCCATTAACATTTTTCTGTCTTGTTTTTTTCCTTGCTCCCCGCACCCCCATACCTCACTCCCTCTCCACCAACTGCTACCCTCTCATTTTCAGGATTAATCTCGGAAGCCTTCAAAGAATCTGCACGCATCGCAGGGTTGGACCAAAGTTCTGCGACGTTGCTTTCCTCGGCTTCTTCCTTTTTCTTAGTTCTGTTATTTTCCCGTTTCGTGACAAGGAACAACACCCAGACTCCCTGAGAAATCCGGTTGGGGATTCTTAAAGCGCCGGTGAGAATACAAATCGCGTGACGCGATTGCCTCATCCAGCGCAGCTCTCCTCTGCGTCCTCCTCCGCCGCCGCGCCGTTCACTCTCGCCGCCCTGCTCAGCCATGGAACACCTGGAGGAGGACCTCACGTGCCCCGTGTGCTTCTCGCTGTTCGAGGAGCCGCGCGTCTTGCCCTGCTCGCACACCTTCTGCCGCCGCTGCCTGGAGAGCGTCCTGCAGGCCACGGTGGAGCAGTTCCCGCTGTGGCGCGCCCTCCGCGTGCCCCTCAAGTGCCCGAGCTGCCGCCACATGTTCGACATGCCCTCGGCGGGCCTCTCCTACCTGCCGCTCAACTACTCGCTGGTGGCCATCGTGGAAAAGTACCGGCGCCAGCAGAAGCTGCAGCGCGAGCGCGAGCTCGCCGAGTCGGCGCGCCCGCCGGCGTGCGCCGAGCACAGCGAGCAGCCGCTCAACGTCTACTGCCTCACGGACCGCACGCTCGTGTGCGGCTTCTGTCTCACGCTGGGCGAGCACCGCAGCCACGACATCGAGTCGCTCGCGTCCGCCTGCGCCCGCGAGGGCCGCGTGCTCGAGGAGAGCACGCGAGCGCTGCTCTCCGACGACGACGACGAAGGCGACGGTGGGGGCGCCGGCGCTGGCGGCCCCAGTAGCAGCGGTGGCAGTGACGACGACGACGACGACGACGACGACGTGATGGGGGTAGCCGTGGACCAGCAGCGGCGGCGGCGGCGGCGGCAGGAGGAGGAGGAGGAGGAGGGAGTTGGAGATTCGGCCACCGTTTCGGATCCAGTTCCGGAAGATGGTGGCGATGCTCATCGTGGTAACGATGGTGACGATGCTGCCGAGGATGACCAGCAGCAGGAGGAGGTTGAGGAAGAGGCTCAGGATGTGGAGCGGCAAGGGGAGCGTCGCAGGAGGAGGACGACAAGCGGCGGGACGAGCGAGGAGGAGTTGGGGAGTGGAAGGGAAGATCAGGGAGGGGAAAATGGACGGGGAGACCGAGCTGGTGGGGACGAGGCGGTCGCTCGAGGGGCCAAGGAAGCGGTGGACGAGCAAAACGAGGAGCAGAATCGGAGCCCGCGACGTCGAGCGAAGCAACGTCACCCGGGCCCCTGGGCCACGGCGCGAACCCAGCTGCTGGAGCTCGAGGCGCAGCGCGCCGGGTACGAGGTGCTGGTGAACCAGGAGGCGGCGCAGGTGGAGGCCTACTTCGCGGCGCTGCGCGACGACCTCGGCAAGCAGCAGATGGCCGTGATGGAGTACATGGAGGCGGCGAGCCGGCATGCCTCGCTGGGCTACGAGCGCGCCATCGGCGTGCTGCGCGGCGTGCTGGACGAGCACGCCGCCGTGCTGACGCTGGCCGGGGAGGCCCAGGACGCGATGCTGCTGGGCGAGCCCGTGGCCTTCCTGCAGAAGATGCACGTGTTCCGCGAGCGCTACGAGCTGCTGCGCGCCGCCGCGTGCGCCGCCCGGCCCGAGCCGCCGAGCTTTGGTCCCCGCTGCCAAGACTACCTGGTGCGCGGCTGGGCCGACGTGCCGCTCGGACGGCTCGGGGACGCGCCGCTGCCCCGACTTCCGTACGACGACGACGACGACGAAGCCGACGGCAACGGCGGCGGCGGCGAGGACGATGGCGGCGGTGGCGTTCGGCGCGACGGCGGAGGAGGCCTGGGCGCAGGGGATTTGGGGTCAGCGGGTGAAAACGGAGCCGTCTACGGCCACAACCACCACCTGTCCGTCATCCTGGAGGAGGAGACGGAAGAGGACGACAACGTCGATGGAACTGAACAGAAGGCTGACGAACTCGACCTTGACGGCGGCTGGGTTGCCGGAGCCGGCGGACGAGCGTCGGCATCGCGAGCGTCAACGGCCGCCGACGTTCACGCGCTTCTCGACGGCGACGCGGATGACGGCGTGACGGAGGAGGAGCTGGCGACCGCGTGGCTCCCGTTCGAGGTGGAGCAGGGCCTCGTCCTCCTCTCGGCGCTGGCGAGCCTTCGCTGGGCCGACGCGGCGGCGCTGGCGGTGCGCGCCGCGAGGATCTCCGAGGCGTCGGCGCGGAAGGTCCTCGGCCGGGGCGGCCGGGCCTTGCTCCGCGCGCTGGGCCCCGCGTCCTCTCCTCGGCCCGCGCTCCTCCTCCCTGCTCTCTGGCTCTCCGTCGCCCTCTTCCTCGCCTTCTGCTGCTGCTGCTTCTTCGCCTCGCTCCTCGGCCGCGGCGAAGACGGCGCGGCGGCGGCGCCGGGGAAGCTCGGGGCGCCGGGCGCCGTGGGGCTAGCGCTGCTGCCGCTGCTGCCGCTGCTGCCCTGCGTCGCCGTGGTGGGCGCCAACGTCCTCATGCGGCGGCAGCAGGGCCTGGGGTGTGGCCGGGGGCCCAAATGGGCCGTGGGGTCCGTGGGGGCTCTGAGGGCCGTGGGGGCACGTGTGCGTGCCGCCCTCTAGAGGAAGACGGCACGAGGAGGAGGAGGGGACGACCAATTCGCCGCCCCTGGACACTCGGTAGCCACCAGATGCGGCGAGCTACCTGCTGCTAATGTAGTGGTTGGTGGTTAATTTAATCAGTTCATGAACCCAATCTATTCTCGCAATCGCGAGGCGTTAAATTGGACCGTGCGTGACGCAAGATTAGTATTTTCGCTTGATTTTTTTTTTATTAGCCGTGAGGTGTTGGGGCTTCCGTGGCCCGGCGAGGTTGCTAGGTGGCCATAAAGATGTGACCGTGTACAGCAAAGTAGGTGGCTACTCTGTCCTTTTGCTTTGCTTGTGAGTTTTATTTGGGTTTATCCCGCCCTCAAAACGCCTCGCGGGGGTGACAGTTGGTCAAATATCCCAATGCAGCAGGCAGGACCTTCCTGAAAAAAAAAAGGTCTTGCTTGAGACTCTGAGACATTTCTGCATAAAGGCCATTGTTGTGACTTACACAATTATAGAATTTAAATTATCATTTTGGATTAAATGGCAAACGCTAATCCGAGACCTATTACGATTTTCTTGGATAAAATAATGTCTTTGTTTCGTATTGGTCCCGAAATGGATCATAATAAAAATAATAATACTGTGGTGAAAATTACAAAAATGCTGTAATTGTAATACTTCGCAAGCAACTAAATCTGTTATCTGTGATAGTCGTGGGGCGCTCAGACTTCTCCATCAACTTGAATAAAATGAGGTGTTCGGAAGATCGATTGATCGAAATCGCCAATTCGGCGAATCTGCCACGGAGCTGCCTATCCGCCCTACCATTTCTAATGACCCCGGCCGCGTGATGCGACCCGCGCCTTCCAAAACCGTACAACGGATAGGGGCGCGCCAGGCGCGGAAATTTTGGGGCGCCTCTGCTTCTGTGTCACGATGCTCGTCTCTGTTCACGCGTCCCGAGAACAACTTCGTGAGCTCGCCGTCCGTACGGGTGAACGACACCCGTACGCGACTCGAGGAAGGGCGTGGACATGCGCCGTGGATATACGGGGGCTGTGCAGCGTTTGGTGGGTGGGAGGGGGGCAACCAGTGGGGTAATGCAAACACAAAAAAAAAACACAGTATATTCCTGGAGCTATACTCTTCCACTTTCGCCAACCCACACTACTCGAGCGGGATTGTGAGGCGTGGCAAAATAATCGCCCCGTTCCCACGACTCGCACGGCCAATGCGGGGAGGGGGGGGGAGGCCATCATCCATCCAGCAGTGGATTGACCACCAAGAGTCGTGCCGAACGTGGGAGGGGGGATATTGCGGGGGGTTCGTCCGCTGAGTGGCCTGGAAAATATTCACGAGCCCCTCTGCGCCCCCTAGTGGCGGGATTTGAACTCCTGTTGTGCCGCAATATCCAATACATTGACGCGCAGGGCCGATTTGTTAAACTGGAGATAGATGGCTTCATCTCAAGGTTGTGATCCAGAGATTTTCTGGAACTCCGCCCCAGAGAGCTCTCGCTCGTCATACTTTTTTTCCCCCCTTGGTCATTACGAAAGTCAACTCGATTCGTAACTCTTCCTAACCCGAGGTACGTCACTTGGTCGACCACCCTACGATATGAGTGCTGAATGTAGACCGGCAGAGAGTCTGAAATGTATCTCAGGCACGGATGGGTCCACAACTAACGGCTACACTTGGGGTGAGGAGTGGTGGCGCAGTGATTAGCGCACTGCGCTATGAACCCGTTCACTTGTGTTCAATCCCCGACCACGGCTCACATCAGTGGCGAGTGATATCTGAAGCGTTCCTGAGTATCCCTTCTCCACCGACTCACACTGGCCAGCATGAAGTATGGATAAGTAACCCCCAACGACCAAAACTACTTTTGGTTACACGGTTAAAGATTTCCCACTTTAACGCTTTTGTATAGTCTTTGTAGCGATTATGGAGGTCGCCTCTATTTGAGTTTATTTTGTGTATGGCTTCTATATGTGATAAGTTAAGCTTTTAAGTTGCTATCATTCCCTTCCTAAAGGTAGTGTTAACTAGTTGACCAATGTTATTTTAATGATTTGAAAGCTGGACTTCAACGAAGCTACTCCAATCTAAGTGTTTTGCCACTGCATATCAATGACAGGTGGAGCAGTGGCGCAGTTAGTTGGCTCACTGCACGTTTAGGGTTTTTGGCTGCTACACATTTCCACGTGATAAGCCACTTTGTTTAGCTATAGTTTGTGGCCTGGTCGCTTCTGAAACAAGAGCTATATAGCTCGGTGGGTCTTACCTGGTACAATACAAACATACTCTTTGGTTCTTTCGGTAAAGTCACGTAGATTAAAAATAAATGAAATAAAAATAATAGATCACGACGGTCGCTTGTTATTGCGATCGAAACGTCATGATCTATTTTTTATATTTTTATATTTGTATTTTCCATCTACTTGACTTTACCGAAAGAACCAAAGAGTATGAATTCCTGCAGTCACGAAAGCCTCTAATCAAGATTAAAACAAAAATATTTTTACTCATAAACTGGGCCACCGAAATTCGATTCCCGGTTACGGCTAACATTGGTGGCGAGTTATATCTGGTCTGGTCCCGAGTCGCCGGAGGATTGATACGAGCAGGCTGCCGACATGGCCAGTTTGCAGTGACGTCCAGAGGTCGGCGACTAGGCCCAAGTCTTACAGCCAGGTGGCAATGATGCCGATGAAACTGCAACAGCGGTCCTTGACGGATGCGTCCATTTTATGTAGCAAGAGGACTCCTTAAATCTCCATTGCGGGAAACTGGAGGTCGGACGTCGATTGTGTGACAGTCATGGGCGTAAGCTCGCAGCAGGAAGGAAGCGATGGCGAGGTGCCATGATGACTTGGTGACCATTTGCGTTGGCATATTTTAATCGAGCAGCGGATTGATCACAATTGAGAGTCCGGTCTCATCGGTGACGAATATTTGAGGCTTGTGAGTGATCAGAGTGGTGTTGTTGTACTCGTGGTGGTGGAGTGGTTAGCGCACTGCGCTATGAACCCGGCGACCTGCGTTCTATAACCTGGCCACGGCTAAGGTCGGTGGCGACTGCTATCTGAACCGGTTTGGCTCTCGCCGCCACCCTCTTCCGCTTCACCAACCAACCTGCACTGACTAACGTGGTGAGGGGGACGTGTGGGGAAGATTTAATCCAGCAGTGAATTGACCAAAGGTCTTGAAAGTTTAGCATACTTTTTTATACTAATACGAATGGCTGTATTTATGGGTTCGCGGTGTACTTTTTTTGTTTAACGAAATTAAAGCAATTTTCACAATTAACTATTTAACAACCGTAACTACATTTTGCACATTTCAACAATGTTTTAAACTTAAACAAATATTTCATTTCTGCTCTTGGTTTTATTAATATAGACTTGGACCAAGTTCCTTGCACCAACCGTTGTGATAAGTTATTCATTATCTGTGTGTCAATGTCCGTTTTCTATTAGTACTTAATTAAGAAATAGTTGCTATGTCCATAAGTAATTATTAAGTGTTTGTAAATGAACGCTATCAAGTGATTAAAAATAAAAATTCTGAGAATAACGCGTCAGCAAATCTTGTGTTGGTCATCGGCGTTTCTTGTTTTGCTGATTCATCTTGACCCCACTTTGCAGCCTTCACTAACGAAAGTTCTTCAATCACTTCCTGGAGTTTATTCCTATTGAGCGTTAAAGAGGCAGACGGAAGCAACACCTAATATTGTAATAGGACAAGGAAGACGAATCGTGCATATGAATGTGTTTTTTTGGAGCACTTTCTAAACGTGCGTTAGTTCTCAAACATTTAATTATTATCATTAGACCTCCTTTGCCAGTACCAAAATGTAATAATAGGGTTTTTCCCCTTTTTTGTGGCAACAAAACTGAAACCTTCTTACAAGGATCCATGTCTGCATTAACCACAATACCTGCAGTCAAAATGCAAACAAAAAACATACTATGATAATATATGCATTGTCCTTGAAACTGATTGGTCCACACCAAGGGACGGCTTTCTTTTGAGCCTCGACCCAATTGGTGCTCGACCAGATGACGCCAAAAGGCCCTCATTACTTTGATAGTGCATTGTCTTTGAGCTGTACTCCTTTTGGCGTCATCTGGTCGAGCACCAATTGGGTCGAGGCTCAAAAGAAAGCCGTCCCTTGGTGTGGACCAATCAGTTTCAAGGACAATGCATATATTATCATAGTCTGTTTTTTGTTTGCATTTTGACTGCAGGTATTGTGGTTAATGCAGACATGGTTTTGGTTTTGTTGCCAGAAAAAAGGGGAAACCCCCTATTATTATATTTAATTATCAATTAGACCCTTGGCGCTCGTGCCAGGTGTGCCGGAAACACAATGGAGTAAAAAAAAACGTAGACTCGATGGTTCGATAACACGGGCATTGACAAAATGGAATAAAAGCTGAAAAGTGTGCAAAGAAGCAACTTTTGAGTGCATGCTTGGAATTGCAGACAGAGGAACACGTGGATTCGATAACACGCGCACACGTTAAAGACATCGTATCGATTTAGGTTGAGAGGTGGGGGGGGTGTTTGGGCAGCACACGTTGCTAGATGGTATGGTAATCAGGCTTGTGGTCGAGACACGATGGACTAGAAGCCAAAAAAGAGAATTCTTCCGAGAGAGGACGTGCCGTCGCAGAGGATGGAGAGATGACATTGGCTCACTTGGAGAAGCTGGGTGGATTTGTTTGTTAGTGAAACTGGGATGGCGATGGCTTGGAGACCTTCATACAGTAGTGGGTAAGATCATACCTACATGCCAATGATCATGATTGGTGTCCGAAATTTGTATTTCTAGTTATGTTACGAGTCACCCACCCTTGGTGATTCGATACGTTTTCAAGGTGATATCTAAAAAAATCGTAGCGGCATCTATCGGTTGCAGGAATCACGCGAACTCCACATAAACGGATCTAACAAAGGAAGGTGGGCGCAGTGGTAAATGCACGCGTCTCCACGAACCTCCGTTAAATCTCCTGCCGCGGCTTACACAAGTGATATCTTTACAATTAAGCGATACCCCGCGTCACCTGGTTCAATTAAAGTAATGCCCGTTGTGCAAATCCACAGCGACTATCCGTGAAAATGTCTCCCGCCTCTAGCCCCTCCACTAAAATAGTATTAATAACGCGCTCCACACTCTATAGTACAGTATTCCTTCATTCTAGAAGAGATAGCAACCCAGGGACGCGAGACGGATGCACAGTCGTGTGGGAAGGCAGCAGCCACGCGGCGTCAAATCCCACCCAACCGCAGAGCTCTGCCGTCCTCTACATATGAAGATGTGATTGGCCAATGAATTGGGAGGAAAACCGGAGCAAACGGCCCGTTCCCGCGTGCAGATGGAACAGGTGGAGTCCACATTTTTTTTTGCTGCACTACCTTCTGGCAAGCCAGGGGTATGGGCACTTCCCCAACGCCCACCGGATTGGAGTGTTCACAACATTTGTGTGACCCCCGCCTCCGCAGTGCTGGGGATCACAGGCCAAGTGCATGGCCACCACCGACAGGTGAAATCAATGCAGTCCCCTGTAACCGGTAGAGTACTTTAATAATAAAAAACCCCTCAATCAATACAAGAGGTACAGGCGCAGCCCTGAAATCGCTTGTTCACGTCACTCATGGCGGAAGGGTCTTCGCTCGAGGGGAACTATAGAGAGCCTGTCTACAGGGTGTTTGGCCTCCTCTTCCACGTTGGCCAGACGCTTGGAAGAGGCGGGAATTACCCACACTTTACTCCACTGCAACTTGCCTATCGACTAACTGGGGGACGGGGCCATGGAAGAAACGCGTACACCGCCTCAACTGCCGCGCCGCGAAATCGAATCGAGCCGGAGAACCCACTCTGATCAGATCGCAATGCCATCGCGATAATCGTTGCACCAGTTTTTTCAGTTTTTTTCAGTTTAATTTATTTGGTATAGCGCTGTGAGCCATTCGTCTCTTCAATCGGGTGCAACCGCAACAAACAAAAAACATGAACAAGAAAACATCTTAAAGTGACCACGACAGCGTCTGAAAGCTTTGACTCGTACGGTCCCCTTCCTCTCAAGAGTGCGGTCCTTTGCGGCCAAGGGAGGGCCACAGTGAATCGCGAAGTGGCACCGCTGAATTAATTTGCAAAGGAAGAGCTGGGATGGCACGAGGGACTGCAGCAGGGTTGTAAGCCTGAGATAAATAATCAGTTTGCAATAACAATGGGAATCGTTTACAGCGTTAGTCCCACCGCGAGATGAGGGCCTCTTTCCACGCCGCGGAATTCGGCCGTGGCGATTGTTTGACCATACTTCACCAAGCTGGTCAGCGGTGGTGGGCAAGAGGGTTCTGCTATCACTCTCGCCACCGATGTTAGCCGTGGCCTGGAATCGAACTCGGGTCACCGAGGTTCACAAAGCGCAGTGCTGCTCATCACTGCTCCCACCGCTGCCATCATCATGACCCCCCAGAATGAGAATGGATTTGTGTGAGCGCTCTGCGTATTTACGATATAGAACGTAAAAAGATGTTTGGGGGGGGGGCAAAACGAAAAAAACCCACACACAAAAAAAGCAACAAATAAAGTGCGTAACCGACAACATTATTTTTTGTGCGACCGATTCAAATAACAATAATGAGAATAAAAAAAAGGTGCGAATAACGAATAACGGACTCTGGCTTTAAACAGAGAATACGCCAGCACCCACCCCCTCCACATGCCCATATTAGGAAGGTCCAATCAAAAGAGAGGAAACGGGGGGGAGGGAGGCAAGTGGCGGCGCTCGGGGGCCCAACGTGCAACGGTTATAATTTCAAACGGGGAGCGGCCAATCAGCAGCCTCCAAATTTGCTCCGCCTACGTCATGCCCATATATGGCGCCCACATTCAAAACTGAAAGAGTGGAGGATGCTATATATATTTAATAATAATAAAATTTGGGTGGATTCAGAACGGAGTTCTTAAAAATGAATTTTCTATACAGTATATATAGAGACAATAATAAAGGTGATTCCTTTCTTAAACGCGCATTTGAGGCTTGTGGCTCAATTGTGTATACGCCCTGGAGGCAGAGTGGTGGAAATTGTACATTCCTATGGCAGGGGATTGAGTTTATCCACACTTTTATCACTTTACCATCAAAATACTAAATAACAAAAAGCATATCAAAGCGAGATAACGTTGCTCATAACTCCAGGGAGACATAGAAGAGGGTTAATCAAAGGTTAGGCGACGAGACAGCGAGCAGAGAACAAGATTTTGAGAATATGAGATTAATAAATCGTAAACGTT